GCTCAAGGCTAGTGCTCTGCCACTGGAGCTGTAGCACCACTTCCAGCTTTTTCTGCTTATGTGGTGCTGAGGAATTGAACCCAGGGCCTCAGGCACGCAAGGCAAGCGCTCTACCACTGAGCCACCTTCCCAGCCCTGTCCAACCACTTTTAGACAGCTCTTAACAACTCACCCTGGGGCTGGGAAGGTGGCTCAGTGGTAGAGTGCTTGCCTTGCATACATGAAGCCCTGGGTTCAATTCCTCAACACCACATAAGCAGAAAATACCCAGAAATGGCGCTGTGGCTCAAGTGGTAGAGCACTAGCCTTGAGCTGAAGAGCTGAGGGATAGTGCCCACGTCCAGAGTTCAGGCCCCACAACTGACAAAAAAAAAAAAAAAAAAAAAGACATTGCCAGGTACTGGTGGCTCACACCTGTATTCCCAGCTACTCAGGAGACTGAGATCTAAGTATTGAAGTTCAAAGCCAGCCCAGGCAGGAAAGTCTGTGAGATTTTTGTTTTGTTTTGTTTTTTTGCCACTCATGGGTAGTTAGAATTACAGGTCTGAACCTCTGGCACCTGGCTCTGTGAAACTCTCCAATTAACCACTAAAAAGCCAGAAGTGAAGCTATGACTCAAGTGATAAAAGAGCTCAGGACCTTGAATTCAATGCACAGGGAGGGCAAAAGGGAGGGGAAGAGGGGGGGGAGAAGAGAGACAGAAAACAAGCAAAACCAACAACAAAAGAGAACTCAAACACAGCCCCTGTTTGCCACACATTCAACCCCACCCCCACCATGATGTTCTGCCTCACTCAGATCCAAAGCAATGGAGCCAGCTGACCTCAGACTGAAACTTCTGAAACCACTTGCCAGAATAAATTGTTAACTCAGCTGCCCTCTCAGTTTTGTCATGAAGACAGGATCATCTGACTACAGGGAAGAAGAGCTGGAGGCAGGATGCTCACCAAGGGCATACAAGTATGGAATAGGGACTCGATTAGCACATACATGTGCCTAACTCCTAGCTCCATGTTCAAAGAACCCAAAAATGAATATACCAAATGCCTGAACTTCATCTCTAATACCATTACTACTAGAAACCAGCACTCAGCTAGGCATGGTGGTGTACACTTGTAAGTACAACACTCTGGAGGCAGAGCAGTAGGATAATGAGTTCTAGGCCATAATGGGAAAGGCCACAATAGGGAAACTGTGTCAAACAAAAAAAAAAGAGCTAGGTATTGGTGGCTCATATCTGTAATCCTAGCTACTGGGAAGGGTAGAAATCAGGAGGATCACCACTGCAGGCTAGCCTAGGCTACAAGCTCATGAGACTTCATCCCAACCAATAACGGTCATATCTCAGCTTTTCAGAAAGCTAGAATTGGGAGGATCACAGTTCCAGATCAGCCTAGGGTAAAAGTTTTCAAGATGTCTCAAGAGAAAAAAGCTGGGCACAGTGCTATTTGGGCAAAAAGCAATACTAAAATATACCTGAAGGGTAAGAGGAAACAAGAGCAAAAGGGGTTGGAGTAGACTTAAGTGGTAAAACATCTGTTTGACAAGCATGATGCCCTGAGTTCAAACCCTGATACTGGATGGAAAAGTTAGAAAAGATCAGCTCAGGTAAGGATCATCAGTGGATGCTACTCCTTGGAGTGGGGCTGTTTCCATATAGACTACATTTGCAGGCTCTTCTGAACTGCTTTCAATAGTAATAGAAAAACAAGACAGTAATGATAGATACTATGGAACATTGTGTGTGTGTGTGTACATGTGCGCTGGCACTCGCATGCATGCACATGCAATTGTACTTGAGAAAGGGCCACAGTATATTTAATCTATTGTAAGATGATGGGGAAAGACTGTACTTTTTTTTTTCAGTCGTGGGTCTTGAACTCTGGGGTTGGGTACTGTCCCTGAGCTCTTCAGTTCAAGGTGAGCGCTCTACCGCTTGAGCCACAGAACCACTTCCAATTTTCTAGTGATTTATTAGCAATAAGAATCTCATGGACTTTCCTGCCTGGGCTGGCTTTGAGCCGTGATCCTCAGATCTCAGCCTCCTGAGTAGCTAGGATTACAGGCATGAGCCACAGGTGCCCAGCTGTGCATTTATTTTTATGTGGTCTACTTTCTATAAGTTTAAACATTGTTTCCAATTAGATAATTTTTGTTTGTTTTCTTAAAGGTTTCTGAAAGCAAGATGTGGGAGACAGCAGTTTCTACCCAGAGAGGGTCTGAGTGACAAGAATAATCACAGCATTGGAGTTGGGCCTGAAGATCTCAGCTGGGCATAGCCTGAAGGCCTAGTGGAAATGCCCCATTGCATTACAGAGATGCAGCCTGATCCTGGGAGCACCACAGTTAACGCACACTGCTGACCTTAAGAAATTCTAGGCCTGGGCCAACCTTCTCAGTCCACTGTCCGCCCTGGAGCCAGCCAGCAGCTCTAGAGCTCTCCAGATGCACTCAGGCTCTCTCCAATCCCATGTGATCTGGCCTTGCTGGCTTGTTCTTGGCTCTAATCCAATGGCAGTCTCCTCCCATGACCTTGCACACCCCTCCAGATCCTCCAATTGCCCAGGGTAAGCGTGCTCTGCCTGGGCTCAGACTCCTCAGTCTCCTTATGACTCAAGGCTCTGGATCTAGGACCCCACCCTGCCTGTGTTCTGGTCTTCCCAGCTCAGGCCCCATGGGAGAACAATAGGAGGGTTTAACCCAGAATCTGCCAATTTGCCAGGCCTGGAAAGGACAGCATGGGAATTAGGGTGGTGTCAAGCAGTCCCAACTCACTGTGCCTGCAGGAGTCCACATGCATACGTATACACAGTGACCACAGTGACTGGGCTGGGAAGGTGGCTGAATGGTAGAGCACTTGTTTTGCATACATGAGGCCCTGGGCTTGATTCCTCAGCACCACATAAGCAGAAAAAGCTGGAAGTGGTGCTGAGACTCAAGTGGTAGAGTGCTAGCCTTGAGCTGAAGAGCTGAGGCACAGCATCTAGGCCCAGAGTTCAGGCTCACAACCAGAAAAAAAAAAACAAAACATATACACAGGGACCTGCAAGGCTTCCAACAAGAGGCAAGTCTCATAGTTGGAGCTGTTCTGAGAACTGACTCCTGACGTGCCACAGTTCCCAGTCCCAAAGTCAGCCTGCTCTGCCTACCAAGAGCTTGGTCAGGTGGTATCCGGGAAACAAACACCCATTTGTCTAGTCCCAAGTCTGAGCCCATGTCTCTGGCTACAAGCACAGTCCTAGAGTCTACTCCCCCATTTGTACTGCTTGTACACCCGTATGTGCACATCTTTAGTTTCCCATGGATAATGCATGGGAATTACCCAGCCCTATTCCTGGAAATGGCAGATGTTAAAAGTTGTAGCTATAGCCTAGCAAGATAGTACATACCTGTAATCCCAGCACTCAGAAAGCTAAGGCTGAGGGGGCTGGGAAGGTGGCTCAGTGGTAGAATGCTTGCCTTGCATGCATGAGGCCCTGGATTCGATTCCTCAGCACCACATAAGCAAAAAGAAAAAAAGCCAGAAGTGGCGCTGTGGCTCAAGTGGTAGAGCGCTAGCCTTGAGCTGAAGAGCTGAGAGACAGGGCCCAGGCCCAGAGTTCAGGCCCCATGACTGAACCCCTCCCCCGCCAACCAAAAAAAAAGAAAAGAAAAGAAAGAAAGAAAGCTAAGGCTGAAAGATCACTGAAAGCCAGGAGCTCAAGAAAAGGCCTAGGCAACACAGTGAAACTTTTGTCTCAAAAACAAATCAAGCCGGGCACCGGTGCTACTTGAGGCTGAGATCTGAGGACTGTGGTTCAAAGCCAGTCTAGGAAGGAAAGTCTGTAAAACTCTAATCTCCAATAATCTACTCAGAAAAGTCTGGGAATGGTGCTGTGACTCCAGTGGTAGAGCACTAGCCTTACGCAGAAGCTCAGGGACTGCACTCGGTGCCTGAGTTCAAGCCCCAGGACCACTACCATCCTCCCACCCCCCAAAAAATCAACAAGCCAGGTAAGGCAGGACACAATTGTAATCTCAGCACTCAGGAAACTGAGGCAAAAAAATTAAAGGTTCAAGACCAGCCTGGGCTACAATTTGAGGCCTGTCTCAAAACAAAACATTTGAACAAAAACTTAGTAGCTATTAACAGACACAAGAGCTAAAACTAGTGATAATTTGATTATTATATTACCTTAATACTGCCTCATAAATTGTTATTTAAAAAAGAAAATTAGGGGGCTGGGAATGTGGCTTACTGGTAGAGTGCTTGCCTAGCATGCATGAAGCCCTGGGTTCAATTCCTCAGTACCTCATAAACAGAAAAAGCTGGAAGTGGGGCTGTGGCAAGTGGTAGAGTGCTAGCCTTGAGCAAAAGAAGCTCAAGGACAATGCCCAGGCTCTGAGCTCAAGCCCTAGGACTTGCAAAAAAAAAAAAAAGCAAAGCTGTGTACCTCAAGACAGCTAACTAAAAAATTCTGCCATGTTAGAAATCAGAGCTCTCCTATAGGTAAAGTCCCCAGATACAGGTCTGGCAAACTGCAGAAGGTAAGAAAAACAGACTGGTAAACAGAAGCATATCACATGCAGCTAGTCACGGTACAGACCTGGAATGAGCATTCTCTCCCTGTCTTCTTGCTAAGCCACAGAACCCATTCGCTCGACTCCAAGGTAGGTCCTGGTCTTCACCTTAGGATAGCAACTAAACTGTCCAACAAGGTCAATATGTAGATGGACATACTGTGTTTTTTCCTTCTTGTTTTATGCTGGTTCTGGGGCTTGAACTCAGAGCTGGGTGCTATCTCTAAGCTTTTGTGCTCAAGGCTTGTACTCTATCACTTGAGCCACAGCTCCACTTCTGGCTTTTTGGTGGTTAATTGGAGATAAGAATCTCACAGACTTCCCTGCCTTGCCTAGCTTCAAACAGGATCCTTAGATTTTAGCCTCAGGCATAAGCCAGCATCACCAGCTGTTAAATTCAATTTTAAAACAAAAAAGATCCCACATATCATGCCTTTAAGTCAGATTTCATTTTATTTTTCTCAATCCTCAACAATATAAACTCTTCCAGGATTTGTAAAATGTCACTAGTAGGCAATCACCTGGTAGCAATTAACTGCTTTAAATGTTAAATCTGTCAAGAAAAACCATGTAACATGTGTGCAGACACACGTTGTGACTCAACAAATCCATCCATGGCTTCTGATCAAATCCCCAAAACTCAAGGGAGATTTAGGAACAAAACCCTCCTGCTGCCTCAGCATTGCTGCCAGCTGTTCCTCAGAGGGCAAGGTGGGCGAGGCTGAGATCAGGGAAAGGGGGAGGAGATGGGTGATTTGAAATAAGCTGGGAATTACAAGGTCAGAAGTAATTCAAGTAATAGTAGCACTAAGAATATATAATCCACAACAAAATGAGCAATCTCTAGGAAAACTAATGTTTATGGGGTATTTTCTTCCCCAAACAAGAGAGCAGTGTAAGTAGGAGGTCGGATTTTCAGATGTAGTGTTACTAAACTTTGCAAAGTCTGATTTAAAAAAGGTCTTTTAATATTTTAAATAGCTAATGCAATCTTGCATCATAAATTCAAATCGTTATTAACCAAGCTCTGATTTTCACATTTTCCTAAGAGCCACACAACTGTGCCACATTTAAGGATGTACAGGAAGCTGACCACCGGCTCTAAGTAGACAATGAAGCTGTTTCTCAGGACAGGAAATACAAATAAGTAGTCAGAGGTCAGCCAGCATGCATTTGTTTGACTGCCTCTGTCTGCAGTGCCTCCTCTGAGCTCAGTGAGCTGGCCTACTAAGATGGCCTAGTATAGTAAGACAAATTAGTACACCAGTCAACCACGCCTGTGCCAACAGAGGAGAGAAAGGTTCCTCAGACCCTGGGAAGCATAGGCCAGTCCATTCTTCGCTTATCACTCTTTCTTATCTTTACTCTTGGAATTTCCTGAGAGATGAGCCAGCTTCACAGTAACTACTTGCTGCTCTGGACCTTCCAGGCACAACACTGGATTTCTGTAATTGCAAGTCGGCTCTCATCTCAATAGCATTGTGAGTGCCTTCCCCAGGAAGTTCCTGGGGAAGCCAATGAAATTCATTACAACCTGGCTCATCAAAGGCAACACGAATAGTGTACTAGCTGTGTGCTCGGCCTCACGGCCGCTGTGGTCAAGGCCATAAAGAACCTCAACCTTAGAGCATCTGGTCATCCACTGCCCTCCCCTTTTGCTCTCAGCCTGCCTTCACCACATTTCTTTTCCCTGAGGCATCCATACTTCTTGTCAGCTTATTTTTGTGATTTCCTCCCAACCTACCATGAAATCAGGGTAAAATCAAATAAACAACTCTCTCAGTGTCCAGGAAATGGCTGCTGGGCCCTAACTGCATCAAAGGCCTGGGCCAGCTGTTGTGTGCTCTTCTAGGCTGGGTCCTCTTCCTCCATTGCCACCTCGTTACTGGGGGCTTTCTTCTCCTCAGTCTCAGGCCCTGCAGGCAGGATGCTGGTGACTGTGAGGAGAAGGGCCTCCACCTGCTCTTCTGTGAGCCGCTCTTCACTCTCTTCCACCATCTGCACAAGAACAAGACTCTCAGGGATCAGTGAGCTTCCAGCCCCAACCTACCCCGCTCTCCCTTGCCCATACATCCCATCCCACAACTCCTGCTTTGTGGCATAGAGCACCACCCGATCCTTAGCTACCTCTGCACCCATGTCCTCCTCATCTAGGCTCCACACAGCAGGATGAAGCCAGCTCAAACCCCAGCATAAGCCAAGTGAATGCTCAAAGTAGGTCAGTAAAAAAATTAAGCTGCAGGCCAGTATTTCTCTTGAAAGAAAAGGATGTGCCTCACATCCCAGCTGTGTGATAGGCTGAAATTGGGTGGATTAATATTTGTGTTTAGCCAGGCACTGGTGGCTATGGCTTATAATCCTAGCTACTCAGGAGGCTGAGATCTGAGGATCGTGGTTCAAAGCCAGCTCAGGCAGGAAAGTCCATGAAACTCTTATCTCCAATAAACCACCAGAAAACCGGAAGTGGTGTGGTAGCTCAAGTGGTAGAACGCTCACCTTGAGCTGAAGAGCTGAGGGACAGTGCCCACGTCCAGAGTTCAAGCCCCACGACCGACAAAAAAAAAAAAAATGTGTTTAGGGGCTGGAGAGTGGCTCTATGGTACAGTGCTAGCTAGCCTTGAGCTGAAGAGCTCAGGGACAGCGCCCAGGCCTCACAACTGACCCCCCAAAAAAAGATTTGTATTTAACAGAGTCAGGAAAACTTTGAAAGATTCTATCAACAGAAAGACATTGGACACAGTGGCAAACAGCTGCCATCCTGACTACAAAAGGAAGGCTAAAATAAGCAAATCTCTGTCTAGGTTCCCCCTGGGCAAGAATTGAGACCTTACCTCAGAAATAACCTATATAAAGCCACATACTAGTGGCTCACATCTATAATCTTAGCTACCCAGGAAGCTGATATCTGAGGATTAAGGCTCAAAGTCAGTCGAGGCAAGAAAGTCTGTGAGACTCTTATCTCAAATTAATCATAGAAAATGCTGGGGGTGGGGGGAGGGTGCGGGGAAATAGTGCTGTAGCTCAAGTGGTAGAGCACTAACTTAAGGAGCTTAGGGACAGGGCTGGGATGGTGGCTCAGTTGTAGAGCGCTTGCTTTGCATGCATGAGGCCCTGGGTTCGATTCCCCAGCACCACATAAGCAAAAAGAAAAAAAAAGCCGAAAGTGGCGCTGTGGCTCAAGTGGTAGAGCGCTTGCCTTGAGCTGAAGAGCTGAGGGACAGTGCCCAGGCCCAGAGTTCAAGCCCCACGACCGGACCCAAAAACAAAAAACAAAAAGGAGCTTAAGGATGGTGCCCAGGCCCAAATTCAAGGCCCAGAAAAAAAATAACCAGTTTAAAAAAAGATCTGGAGCAGTAGAGTATTTGCTCAGCAAGCCTGAGGCTGAGTTCAAACCCTAGTACTGCTCCGCTCCAAAGTAGTAATCTAGCATTGACTGTCCACAAAGAACAAAGAAGGGAAATGAGAAAAGAATATCTCCAAGCATTTGGCTGGTTGGTAAAAGCAGATGACAGTGTACCTTTTGAGCAGCATTGCAGAAATCACTGCCACCAATGCAGTGTGAGGAGGCATTAAAACTCAGAGCCTAAAACCCATGTCAAGACAATAGCATTATACATAGTAATCTAAGGAAAACTTCATTGGAAAATTCCATAGTTGACCTCCCATGACCAGTTGCTGTCAAAATGTAGATACACCAAAACTTACGTGTAAAATTACACCAAGCCTATGTGTTAGGTACTTATGAAACCTCTATAAATTATTAATTCTGTGTTGAGTCTCGACTCCTATTCCCCAGGTACCTCACTAAGTAGATTGCAAATAGTACACTTACTTACACACACACTTTTACACATGCGCACGCACACACACACACACACACACACACACACAATCTTGAAAAACCAAGTATTTCTGTTCCCAAGCATCTTGGATACTGGATACTTGACCTGGATAGAGCAAGAGCAGTAACTTTCAGCTATTCATCCTAGAACAATCCACAAAACCTCTTTAAATGTGAACTTCCACCGGGCTCCAGGCTCCAGGCTCACGACTATAATCCTAGCTACTCAGGAGGCTGAGATCTGAGGATCACAGTTCAAAGCCAGCCTGGGCAAGAAAGTCTGTGAGACTCTTCAATAAACCGCTCGAAAACCGGGAAGTGGTGCTGTGGCTCAAGCGGTAGAGTGCTAACTTTGAGCAAACGAAGCTCAGGGACAGTGCCCAGGCCTTGAATTCAAGCCCTAGGACTGGCCAAAAAAAAAAAAGGCCCAAGGCCAGACACCAGTAGCACATGCCTATAATCAGTGGATTGCAGTTCAAAGCAAGCCTAAGCAGGAAAGTTCAAGAGACTTATCTCCAATTAATGACCAAAAAGCCAATTGAGCTGTGGCTAAAGAGGTAGGGAACTACTAACCTTGAGCAAAAAAAGCTCAGGGACCCAGACCCTGAGTTCAAGCCCAAGGACCAACACACACAAAATTTTCTATTATGTAGTCTGTAGAAGAAAGAACCACTGAGGAAGGTCACACAGACTCGGTTCTCAGTAGGTATCATGGTGGAGTTCAGGTGTTGAACAAACTAAAGAACACCTAGAGAATTAGTAAATCACAGCTTTTAGGTGAGTCTAATCTAGAAAAGCCTGGTGTGTGAGTTGGTTTGGTTACTGGCCTGAAGGGGAAAATCTGCAGCCATGTCAGTAGCATCCAACTGGCAGGGACCAAGATGGAATTTTCTCACCCTCTGCTCTTGTCCCAGAACTAGGGCACTCTGGTCAGGGCCTTCGTCATCAGAACTCCAGGTTCTCTGGTCTCTGGACTCCAGAATGCACACAAGCAGGCCTCTGGCCACAGTATGAATCAAACCACCAGCTTTTCTGGTTCTGAGAATTTTGCTCTTGAGTTGAGCCATGCTACCGGTATCTCAGGGTATTCAGCCTATTGTGGATCCCTCCACTTCCACAAGCCTATTCTTCTAACAAATCCCTGCTGACATACTCTGGTAGTCTTTCTGGGACCTTGGATTAACATACCATGCCAAGTTCATGGCTTAAAAGAAGTAAAGGTTCTAAACGAGACCCTAGGCAGCCACCCCATAGTCCTCTAGCTAAAATGGACAGAGTACCTGTCCTCTTCCAAATACTCTGGTGTGGGTATTTAAAGTGACACAGACAAGGCTCCTTGGACATACTGACACATACTACACACTCTTAATAGCAGGTATCAAGACACATACTACACACGCTTAATAGCAACCAAACAATGGGAGAGCTTTCTACAGGCTTGGGGATGAATTCATCTAATCCTCCCCATGCCTCCTCTGCCTGTGGCTCAGCCACAAGTAACACATGTTGCCAATTAAAGCTGGAGGAGACATGACATGTGATCTTACACCCAGAGGGCCAGAGATTAACTTCTTGCTGTTTTGTCTTTTCTCTCCTGTAAGCCAGTCTCTAAATCTAAAGCACTACAGTAATGAGGATGTACAAAAGGAAGCTCTATTTAGCCCAAAGGCCAGTTCTCCCAGAAAGATACACTGTATGGAAGGAATTTTCTAATTTAATTTGGGAAGAATTTGAAGGACAAACAACTTTGGAAGAACAATGAAGGTTTAAGTCAAAAATTAAATACAACTCTTTTCTACGTTTGTTTTTTTTTAAGAATATTTTCTTCTATACTTTTCTGAAGGAAATTTAATAAAGAACTGAATATTGCTTAACTCTTTCTTCTTTTCCTCTCCTTCCCCCCTCCTGCCATACGAGGGTTTAAACTCAGGACCTTGTGCTTGGTAGAGTGCTTCTAGAGTGCAGGCACTCTACAGCTGAGCCATGCCTCCGGCCCTTCTTCCCTCCTCCTTCTCCCCCTTACCTTTCCTCTCCCTTGTACTCATGATTATATAATCTGCTTCAATAGCTGCTGATGCCCCCCGCCCAACTGAAGGAAACTGCCAGTGGCCATCATGGCAGCCTCTCATTCTGTACCACTGGCCCTCATCTTCACTCTCCTTAATTCTTCTCAGGCCTCCAGCAGGCCTTCCTGCTGCTTGCTTTCCCCAGTTCTGAAACATATGTTTGCAATATGTTTTACAAATGCTGATGCTTCACTGAAAGCCTTTAACACAGAAACACAAGAATACACTGTGGTTTAGAAAGTGATCTTCAATAATGGTGGCCATGCTGGAGTCAGGAAGACCAGAGAGAGAAATTCAAGGGATGGATTGGGAAATGGCAGAAATTAATGCCTTGCAATAGGGAAAAGAAGAAAGAATAAGCAGGGCGCTGGTGGCTCACGCCTGTAATCCTCACTAATCAGGAGGCTGAGATCTGAGGATTATGGTTCAAAGCGAGTCCAGGCAGGAACATCCCTGAGCCTCTTATCTCCAGTTAACCACCAGAAAACTGGAAATGGCACTGCAGCTCAAGTGGCAGAGCACTAGCCTTGTGCTGAAGAACTCAGGGATAGCTCCCAGGCCCAGAGTTCAAGCCTCATGACTGAGAAAAGAAAAATAAGAAAAAGTAAGAGGAGTCAGAACCAACAGGACTTAGGGATGAACTGATGTGAGATAAAAGGGGTAAAATGACTCCTGGGTCAGGCCTGGAAGACTAGGCCAGGGTAAAAGTGCACATGTGTGCCATTAGCTGAGAAGGGAAGAGTAGGGCTGAAGGGTGGGAGCACAGGACATAAATCCCACTGAAGACATGCTGAGCTGGATGTTTTCAGAACATCTGGTTGGCAACAACCTCTATGAATGCCAGGGCCAGAACAGCCGAGGACATCAGAGGAGATAAGGCCACTTTTAAAGTCCATGGGAAAAGTCCTATTCCCTCCAGTCATCTGCTTCTGCTAAGGCTACACTAAGTAGGGCCACAGCAGTGGTGAGGGCTCCTGGCACTTGTAAAGTGCGGAGGCTGGGCAACCTCAGCCTTTCCATATGTCAGGTCCTAAACACAGCCCCTCATGCAAAGGCTCCCCCACTCACCAGCTGGATCTCAACAGCAGTCACAGGCCTGTGATTCACCAGCTGAAGCTTTTCTGCTCTGTCAAAAGAAAAGTACAAAACATGTAAAACCCCTCCAAGACCTCGGGTCTTGACCAAGCTGTTAGGAAAATACTGTTAAAGAGTAGAACCGTTGGGGCTGGGAATGTCGCTTAGTGGTAGAGTGCGTGCCTAGGATGAATGAAGCCCTGGGTTTGATTCCTCAGTCCCACATATACAGCTAAGGCTGGAAGTGGCACTGTGGCTCAAGTGGTAGAATGCTGGCCTTGAGCCAAAGAAGCTCAGGGACAGTGCCCAGGCCCTGAGATCATGCTGCAGGACTAGCAAAAAAAAAAAAAAAAAGAGTGGGAGAGCTACCACAGCACAGCCTTCAATCCTCCAACTCAAGGCAGAGTAAGACTGGGATGCACCTAATGGCACAGATACACAGCAGAGTCCCAAGGGTTGTAAGGTATGATGCTTAGTAAGTCATTACTTACTAATGGGTGTGGTGGCAATGCCTATAATCTTAGAACTTAGGAGGCTAAGATAGGAAAATCACAAGTTTGATGCCAGCCTGGGCTACATCAAAGCTACATAGTGAAACCGTTTCTCAAAAAAATTGAAAAAAGGGGCTTCGAAGGTGGCTCAGTGGTAGAGTGCTTGCCTTGCATTCATAAGGCTCTGGGTTCGATTCCTCAACACCACATAAGCAGAAAAAGCCAGAAGTGGTACTGTGGCTCAAAATGGTAGAGCACTAGCTTTGAGAGTAAAAGCTCAGGGTCAGTGCCCAGGCCCTGAGTTCAAGACCCACCCACAACTGACAAAATAAATAAATAAAATAAATGCCATGCAATAGGGAAAAAAGAGTAAGTCCATGAGACTCTTAACGCCAATAAACTACTCAGAAAAAGCCAGAAGTGGCACTATGGCCCAAATGGTAGAGCACTAGCACTAGCCTTAAGCCAAAGAAGCCCAGGGACAGCACCCAGGCCCAGGGTTCAAGCCCCAGGAATGGCAGAAAATAAAAATAAAAAAATAAAAGAAGAACGACTCCCAGGTTCTGGCTTGGAAGACTAGGCCAGGAGGGCAAGAGGAAGAGACCAGTCAGGCGCCAGTGGCTTGTGTAATCCTAACTACTAAGAAAGCTGAGATCTGAGTGAGGATCATGGTTCAAAACCAGACTCGGCAGGAAAGTCCATGAGACTCTTATCTCCAATACGCCACCAGAAAACCAGAAGTGGCACTGTGGCTCAAGTGGTAGAGTGCTAGTCTTGAGCTGAAGAGCTCAAGGACAGCACCCAGGCCCAGAATTCAAGCCCCATGACTGACCCCTCCCCCCCAAAAAAGGGAAGAGACCATATGAGAAAGTGCACATGTTCTCCATTAACTAAGAAAAGAAGTATATTAGAGAGTAAAGTCCTTGAGAACAAATTGAGATGTGAGACTTTTATCTGCAATTAATGGCCAAAAGACCACAGACCACAAGTAGGACTGTGGTTTAAGCAGTAGAGTGCTAGCCTTGAGCAAAAAAGCTCAAGTACAGCATCCAGGCCTTGAATTCAAGCACCAGGACTCGCAAAAAAAAAAAAAAACAACAAACAAACAAACAACAACAAAACCCAGAGCTGTCATATTAATTTTTACTTGGTCATGTAAGAGCATTTTCTTGGTCTAATTCAAAGAAGATAGAGCCAGGCACTAGTGGCTCACATCTGTAATCCTATCTAAAGGAGGCTAAGATCTGAGGATGGAAGTTCAAAGTTAGGCAAAGCA